ATTATATTTGTCAGTAAATCCGTATAACATTGGTAAATTTATGAACAAGGATGGAGACATTTGGTAAATACAAAAAGGTTTTATTTTTGGTCAAAATAAATGTCTTTGGTCAAAGGCATATGAAAAGTGACTCATCGGATAGCCCTCCTCCTCTGCAACCACTGCTACACAGGCTGCTGTTGCTACAGGTATGTAGTCACAGGTCTCTCCGTGGTTCTCACGGATTGTGCAGAGCAGGTCAGCACCATTGACTTCACATGTTCAGTGTCCGAGTCATTCCTTTAACACTACCAAAAGCATTTTCAACAACCACTCGCGCTGTGCTGAATTTTCTATTACATACTTGCTGTTAGTCTGTTACTCTGTGTCCTGAAAAGGGTTTAGGAGGCAGTTCTGCAGCAGAGTCCCCTCGGAGGTAATAACCAGCTATCACCGATATTATAATAAATATCAAACAGTTCAGCAACTTCTCCAGGTTGAAGCTGGAGGCTATTGAAAGGTTGTTATTTTGGAGGCCCAGGGCCCCCTTTGTTGCCTGGGCAAAGCCCAGAGGTCCTGCTACTCCATGGCCCCAAAGTAGATTGACTTGTCTTCTGTGGATCCTTGCATACAGTGCCTTGCGAAAGTATTCGGCCCCCTTGAACCTTTCAACATTTTTCCAAATTTCAGGCTTCAAACATAAAGATATGAAAATATAATTTTTGTCATGAATCAACAACAAGTGGGACACACTCGTGAAGTGGAACAACATTTATTGGATAATTTAAACTTTTTTAACAAATAAAAAACTGAAAAGTGGGGCGTGCAATATTATTCGGCCCCTTTACTTTCAGTGCAGCAAACTCAGTCCAGAAGTTCAGTGAGGATCTTTGAATGATCCAATGTTGTCCTAAATGACTGATGATGATAAATAGAATGCACCTGTGTGTAATCAAGTCTCCGTATAAATGCACCTGCTCTTTGATAGTCTCAGGGTTCTGTTTAAAGCGCAGAGAGAACCATGAAGACAAAGGAACACACCAGGCAGGTCCGAGATACTGTTGTGGAGAAGTTTAAAGCCGGATTTGGATACAAAAAGATTTCCCAAGCTTTAAACACCTCAAGGAGCACTGTGCAAGCAATTATATTGAAATGGAAGGAGTATCAGACCACTGCAAATCTACCAAGACCCGGCCGTCCCTCCAAACTTTCATCTCAAACAAGGAGAAGACTGATCAGAGATGCAGCCAAGAGGCCCATGATCACTCTGGATGAACTGCAGATAACTACAGCTGAGGTGGGAGAGTCTGTCCATAGGGCAACAATCAGTCGTGCACTGCACAAATCTGGCCTTTATGGAAGAGTGGCAAGAAGAAAGCCATTTCTCAAAGATATCCATAAAAAGTCTCGATTAAAGTTTGCCACCAGCCACCTGGGAGACACACCAAACATGTGGAAGAAGGTGCTCTGGTCGGATGAAACCAAAATTGAACTTTTTGGCCACAATGCAAAACGATATGTTCGGCGTAAAAGCAACACAGCTCATCACCCTGAACACACCATCCCCACTGTCAAACATGGTGGTGGCAGCATCATGCTTTGGGCCTGCTTTTCTTAAGCAGGGACAGGGAAGATGGCTAAAATTGATGGGAAGATGGATGGAGCCAAATACAGGACCATTCTGGAAGAAAACCTGTTGGAGTCTGCAAAAGACCTGAGACTGGGACGGAGATTTATCTTCCAACAGGACAATGATCCAAAACATAAAGCCAAATCTACAATGGAATGGTTCACAAATAGACGTATCCAGGTGTTAGAATGGCCAAGTCAAAGTCCAGACCTGAATCCAATCGAGAATCTGTGGAAAGAGCTGAAGACTGCTGTTCACAAACGCTCTCCATCCAACCTCACTGAGCTCGAGCTGTTTTGCAAGGAAGAATGGGCAAGAATTCCAGTCTCTCGATGTGCAAAGTATTAGCTACAAAGTATTAGCACAAGGGGGCCGAATAATATTGCACGCCCCACTTTTCAGTTTTTTATTTGTTAAAAAAGTTTAAATTATCCAATAAATGTTGTTCCACTTCACGATTGTGTCCCACTTGTTGTTGATTCTTGACAAAAAATTCAAATTTTATATCTTTATGTTTGAAGCCTGAAATGTGGCGAAATGTTGAAAGGTTCAAGGGGGCCGAATACTTTCGCAAGGCACTGTATATTCACACCTTGAAGAGTCGTTGGGGGAAGGGTGTTGTGTCATTGAAATGTTGTTTAAGTTATTATTTTGGTAAATCATATGTGGCTGAATTATATACTGTCTGTTTTGTGATCCACTGTTGACTCCAAAGTGAATGAGTCGTGTGCTAATGCCAGGAGGAAGCAGGCTTTTGAACATGCTAATAAGGAAGGTCTTGTCGTTGTTCTTTTGTCGTGTTGGCTCTGCCTGTCTTATGCATATAAAGGTGTGTCTTGTACTTTCAAAAGGAGTTTGCCGCCTGATCTGATGGAGATCTGATTTTGAAACCAAAGATACAGCTGCTTTCTACCTTCTTTCTGGTTTGGAAATCACTTCTCCTTGGAATGCAACCAGTATTAAAAATGCCAAACTATGTCTTTTGTGTCTGTAATTTGGTCAGAATTGACTGTAAATTACAGCAATAACATGTTGACATGGCACTTATCTTAAGGCCTTCTTACCCACAATAAGATGTGAACCACAAGAATAGTTACACACAGTGGAGACAGAAGTTACATTATTTATATTCTTATTCAAAAGTTTGATCCGATAAGGAAGGTCTGATGAAGGAAGTGGTAATATGTCTCAATACACATGTCTTTGATTAAGGAAATAGGTCATTTTCACACTTTGTAGCATGAAATTAATGTTTTGATGAATAAAAATTGTTTGGATGTGGTTTAGCGAGTGAGAAGGTGGTTCTCTGCAGCTGTGGCAGGAGGGCTCCACATGTCTTCCAAAGGCAGCTGCATGAGCGATGGCCCATGCTTAAACTATGATATGTGCTCCTGACCCTTTTATGACTCATGAGTTTGATCAAAATCAGATGCAGCTCTGTGTGCGAACATACAGCCTCATGTAATAGCACATCAGCTGGACGTAAAGTTTTAGTCAGGCTGAGTAATATCATATAATTCATTGTGTCTTCATATAACATTGGAGATCAAAATTAATTATTAAACCTGGAGTGCAAATCAGACCACAACACAAAAGAGCCCTGTGAGTCACTATTTGAAGCTTTGGGCTGCTTGAGTAGTCCCCTCTTTTTCACTTTTCGGTCTAAAAATACTGATGTAAGATGTAACAGAGGCCAAAAATGTATGCATGTGAAAACTAGATCTAAACAATTGAAAGGGCAGAAGACCTGAGAAGTTTGCGTCAGTCTAGTTGTAATAAATACAAGTATTATAGCTTCTTTACTGCGCCCCGGGCATCACAGAGTGGGTCAGGAATAGAATAGGCAGGAGGGCCAGCTCCGCTCTGAAACTACAGAAACTACAGAAGCCCTGAACATGTGCGGGTGAACTCATGTTTTTCGCTGTGCATCGGAATAAAAGATTTTGGTCCATTACAGAGGCACTTGAACGTGACAAGATCTCCCAGAGCATGCACTGTTGTGTTGCCTATTAGTGCCGCGCTCATTACAAGCCGTTCGCATTACATCACCACAGCCGAGGGTGGATGTGCTAAACTCAGATCAAAGCTGTGAACCACTTGACTGGATAGTCCTAATAGAGCGGGACAAAGGTTTTCTTTGGATGTGCCCCACTACAAACAGCAGGCCCTACAATAACAACTGTGATCACTAAGCGTTAATAAAGCCCACATGTAATTACTGTTAATGTGCGCACAAGAGCTGCACTAACTTCATTATGGGATTGCGTAGACTTTGAAGTGTGCCGCACTGAGGCCTGGGAGCACGCAGAGAGAAGCGCTTGTGTAGATTGTACTGTATTTACATTTACTGGTGAAGTGCTTTTATGTATGCATCTTGATTTTTTATTTGAACGTGTTGGAAACAGCAACATGTCCTCAGTCGCTCTGAAACAGTTACTATGCAGTGTCTGCTTGGTTGGTTGGTGGCATACCACCTGAGAAAAGGCTTTGAGGAAGCAGTTCACCAGGTGCACCACAGAAGTGCCCAAGACACCAGCGGAGATAGAATCCTCACTGCCGCTTCAAGTCTCATGACACCAAGGGGGTTATTATACTGCCCCAGAACTTGCTGCTCCAGACCTTATTACACACTGCTGTCAGCTGATGAACACTGTTTAAGGTTTAATCCTGGGTTATGTTTAGATTAGAAGTTTTTTCAGTAACACGTTTTATTCTCCCTCCCTAATTGGTGTATCCTAACCCTAGCTCAAGACCTAACCCGCATAGAAAAGTCAGTTTGTAGCTAGTTAGATGTTGAATATGGTGATGTAGAATAAGGACTAATAAGTGCTTAATATTTCATTTCATTTCATCTTTTTATTTATTTCATTCATTTAAAAACAAATGCAACAACAGCATTTAGCATGAATGAAAAGGAGCAGAAAGAAGTAAAAACTTATAATGTCTGCCCCCTATCATTAATATCATTAATAAATACTAATTAAGAGGTATACAACCATAAACTATACACTAACTACCACTTAATTACCTGTTAATTTGCAAGGGCTATTCCTTTTTTTGTTTCTTTTTTAAAATTGGTTTTCTCTGTATCAACTACCAATGGTCACCTGAATTTTGCATTTTTGGATGAATAAAGTATTCAAGGGACAGGGCCTTTTCTGTGGTTTTAACCCTGGGGTACAGGGGCGTATTTCTGGTCTTACTCAGTGGGGACGTGTTCCTAACATGAGAGTGAATAAAACTTAATGAACTCCAGGTCTGTTTGTGATGATGGTAGAATACTGTTTCAAAACACTCAAAGAAGATGTTGCATGAGTTTTTATGTACGTTCTTGGCTTTGATAATGACCCTATTCCTACCTTAGTGTATGTTTTGGTGCTTTTGTTTGCAGCAGGGAGTGATCGTTGCCGGGGGGGAGGAGTACCTGATTGAACCACTGCGCAACAACTCACACACACACGGAGGGGAGAGTCCAGAGGAGCGACCCCATGTGGTCTACAAGCGGTCGTCACTGCGCCACCAGTACAAGGGACAATCCTGCGGAGTCATGGGTGAGAAGCTCACTGACCACCAGCTCACGACACACATGTGATCTGTGTGGTGTTCAGTGTTTGATCTTTATACCACTGTACATTCAGAAAGTATTCAACCCCTTTTACTTTTCAAAACACCCTATACCATCTGATAACACATGTATTCATTTAAAAAGGTACAGGGTACAATTAGAAATACAAACAGAAAAATAAATATGCACAGTATTAGGATTTATTGATCTTCAAAAAGTTTTTCATACCATTGACCACAATATACCAAAACCATAATATTTTAACGAACAAATGGATAACTGGTATAAGAGGATTGGCTATTTATTTGAGAGACAGCAAATTGTACAAATTGACCAACACAAATAAGGTTCAAGCAAACAAGTTTATTTATAAAGCACAATTCATGCACTGCAACCCAAAGTGCTTTACACAGACATAATAATAATAATAATAATTATACACATTTACAAATATTTTAAAACACAAGGTAAAAAAATAGGAAAAGATTTCAGACTGAATGTCAGAATTAAAACGGTATAAAAACTCTTTTTGGGGCCTACACCTGAAACGCTGTCTCCCTATGCCAAGTCCTTACTCTGTGCACCAGCAGGGAAAGAAAAAAAGATAAGCCGCGTTTCCACCGCAAGAACTTCGGGGTAATTTTCCAGGGCCAGCCCCGTCGGTCCGTGCTCCACTGCAAGAACTTTCCCCACAGGGCCATTTACAGGAACTTTTACGGGGCCCAACAGAGTCCCTCCTCCATGGTATGTACTCTGTTGGGCCCTGGTGGGACTTGAGGTTAACCTGGCGCTGATTGGCTAAAGCTAGCGGAGGCTCAGGCGCTCAGACCATGGATCTATTATAATAACTGGATAGGGTATTACTAGCTTGGAGCTGAAGGACCCATGTGCTCGCGGGATTCTCGCGGTACTGCAGACTAAATCAGACTAAATTCACGTGGGCTACCCAGAAATTTTACCCATAGAACTCAATGTAAATTAAAACAGCTTGACCTCAGCTGACAGAGAACCTACAGCTTTAATAAAGATCGGATTTTGTGGGGATTTTAGTGTCGCTTGTCATCCTGAACTTTTTTTCTTCTTAAATCCTTTGGTTTTCTTTATATTCACACTTTAGTGCCACAAACTCTACTGTTTTCCTTCCCGCTCTGGCTCCGCTCTACCGCTGCTGTGATCAGCAGCTCCTGATTGGACAAAAAGCACGGCCGAGCCCCTCTGTGCATGTGCATTAGAGCCACACACGCGTATCATGGGAGCTCGTCCACTGCGCAGAACCGGGAGGACCAGACGATGCCCAAATATAGGCGAGTTCTGCTAATATGTCAGCGCCCATGCTGGCAAACATGCGCCACTGAGCACAAACCATTCATTTGAATACAGCGCCATCTTGGATTGCCGCGGCTTGGCTCAGATGCCCGCAGAAAGAAGCAAAACAACCGGCATTCAGCAGCATTAGCCCAGCAGCATTAGCCTAGCAGTATTAGCCAAGCAGACACCACTGGAAACAGCGAACAACAGCACGGTTATTCAGGCGGGGTTTGAGGTATCGCGGCGAAATGAAAAGATATTTAGACATATCAGCTTCACCTCGAAGCACTGGGGATTCATCACACTCCAAAACAAGCCATGAAAAGTTTTTTAAAATGGAAGCAGGACTTCAACTGGAGCGGTCACGAACGTAAAGTAAACAAATGGGTTTGGCGCATGGATCTATGATAATAACAGGTTTGGCGTAATGAGTTTTGCTTATGGGGCAATCAAAACTCATATGACGTCGCCGAGTGGTCCTACTCTGCAGTGGAGACACGGACATTGAGAGGACCGAGGGAGAGGAAGGTTCCTGTAAAATTTCTATCCCGCTCCTTTTACCAGGAACTCCTGCTGTGGAAACGCGGCTATAGTCTTATTCGTCCCACAGTGGGGAAATTTCAGTTTGATGAATACACATTTACACGTCAAGGCATGCCATCCATCCATTCATTCATCCATTTTCTTCCCCTTAAAGGAACTATACCCAATTTATTTTTTTATGAGTTCATAAAAGGCATGCAGTGTATATTACTTCTGCGCTCTTATAGGCAAAGTGGGAGAAGTGTCTTGCCCAAGGACACAACGACAGTAGATATCAGTGGGAGTCGGTGGATCTTGCGTGGGCTAGAACCCACGACCTTCAGGCTCAAAGGCCAATGCTCTACCAAGGCCCATGCCAGGCCAGTCCCTGTGCTCCTCAGAGTCCGACTTAGTTCATATGGTGCTAACATGTCACTGATGTACTTCAGTGCAAGACCATAGAGGGACATATACACAAGCTCTGCTTGTGTATATGTCTCTCCATGTCAAGCAGAGCTTCAAGCAGAGCTTCAAGCAGAGCTTCAAGCAGAGCTTCAAGCAGAGCTTCAAGCCGAGCTTCAAGCCGAGCTTCAAGCCGAGCTTCAAGCAGAGCTTCAAGCAGAGCTTCAAGCAGAGCTTCAAGCAGAGCTTGTGTATAAGTCTATTCTTTTAGCCACAGGAAGCCAGTGTATAGAGACTTGAGAACTGGACTAATGTGGTCATACTCCCTGGTTCTAGTCAAGACTGGAGCTGCAGCATTTTGAATATTTTGCAGCTGTTTTTTAAGCATATTTGGAGAAACCAGTGAGTTGGCCATTGCAGTAGTCTATTCTACTGGTGATTGTTAATGCTGTAATTTACAGTGTATCCTACCACAATCACAAACAGTATAGTACAGTACAGACCAAAAGTTTGGACACACCTTCTCATTCAAAGGGTTTTTTATTTTTGTGAGTATGAAAATTGTAGATTCACACTGAAGGCCTCAAAACTATGAATTAACTCATGTGGACCTATGTACGTACTAAAAAAAAAAAGTTACTGAAAATATGTCTTATATTCTCGGTTCTTCAAAGTAGCACCTTTTGCTCTGATTACTGCTTCACACACTCTTGGCATTCTCTTGATGAGCTTCAAGAGGCAGTTCCCTGACATGGTCTTCCAACAGTCTTGAAGGAGTTTCCAGAGATGCTTAGCACTTGTTGGCCCTTTCGCCTTCACTCTGTGGTCCAGCTCACCCCAAAACCATCTGGATTGGGTTCAGGTCCTGTGACTGTGGAGGCCAGCTCATCAGGCTCAGCACCCCATCACTCTCCTTATTGGCCAAATAGCCCTTACACAGCCTGGGTGAGAATCTACAGTCAGTAGTCATGAAAAGAAAGGGCACTCATTGAATGAGAAAGTGTGTGCAAACTTTTGGTCTGTACTGCAGTTTGGCATTTTTTATCTGGGTTGCCTTATCCAAGGAGACAAGTCTGTAGAGAAAGAGCACAGCTCAGCTCAGTCTCGTGTCCAAAACATGTCAGTCTACAGACAGCCTGCAAGGCTGTATAGAAGGAGATAAGGCTGTGGTCACATGCACAGCCTAAAGCCCGGTTAAAGTGTGCCAGGGCCCGCTTCGCGATTAGATCCGGGCTTAGGGGGGCCATCTGACCGCTGCATTGAACCGCGCCAGAGCTGGATTCCAGGAATCGTGCTCTCGCGCGGTTCAAAACTGCGGCCAGGGCCCGCTTCCCAGCGCAGATGAGTGTGGCGGGTGGTGGGAAGTGGGGGAATAGGTGTGGTGGGGACTTGATATTGTGCGTCACATTACGTCTTCCTGTGACACGCATATTCACACACGTCTCTCCCTGCACCTTTGTATTCTCCGCTTGTGTTAAACCTTTCATATAAGCCCCGGACCGTGGTCGAGGGGCGCTGGGGGAGTGTCTCTCTGCAGAGCCAAAGAAAAGCGTTTCCTGCGGGTATAGCTCTCTTCTGTCCTGACCCTCGCTCTCAGTGTGGTGCTATTTAAATAACACTTCAGACATTCAAGAATCAGTCTTTATTTAATCACCAGAACACACACACACACACACTTGTAACCTCCCTGTCTGCGGTCGCTCTCCTCGTACTCCACACTTTTTATTCCTTCATTCTCGTTCATTCATTTCTCAGCGCTCAAGAGAGTGTGTGTATGTGTGTGTGCGTGCACTCGTGTCCGCGGCACGCACACACACATAAACACATACAAACACACACGTGTGCATTCACGTTACCCACACGTTACCCACTGAACTGCTGCACTTTGCATCAGAGCAATTTGGAAGTGTGAGATGTATCTTTCCCTAAACAACACGATCCGTACTGAGCTGTTAGCTACTGTAGCTATAGCTGTTAGCTTCAGTAGCAGAATGTAAACAGGAGAAGAAGCGGATCTCAACCAGGCCAACGAGGTAGTCTCTGGTGTTAGTATTAGCGCCACCAGCTGGACCGAGTGTTGTACTACAGCACAATTTCCCTGGCACGGCTCAGACAATACGTTCATGTGAGAGCGGGCCGTTTTCACACCCCTGTGGCGACGATCCGGGCCACTTGGCCTAGTTCGTTTGTAAAAACCTTTGTGACCGTGCCCTAAGACTCGCCTCCACTTCCACACAGTCACAGCTTCACAATGAGACCTTTGGTATTTAGCATATCAATCAAAGAAACAGTAGCATTCTTACCAGGCCTAGCCTGGTCCCATCTGCATACGACCTCCGCTACCCAGAAGACTGGCTGGATTCAACAGCGAATACAATATATTTTAGCCACATATTACTTGAATTACACCATACTACATTAAAATGATAGCTTAAAAACATTCCAATTACTGTGAAAAATGAATGGATACGTTTTTCCATGTCTGGTTTAGACAACATACTTTTAATTTTAGCAATACTTTTTAGGTGAGACAATGCTGCTGATGTAATACATTTTATATGCCTGTCAAATTTCGGGTCAGAGTCCATTATTACATCAAGATTTCTTACTTCATTTGTTGGTTTTAAAGAGAGGATGTAACTGTTAACGCTTTCTTTTTTGTTTGTGTGGGCCTAATACAATAATATGGTTTTATCTGTTGAAGGAAGTTGAAGGAAATTGTTTTGCATCCACTCACTGATCTGTTGAAGTATCAAAATAATGAAATTAATTATCTTGGCTGATGATGCTAATATTATGTTCAGGTTTACCTGGATCAACTTTTGGCCACGATAACTGTGGAAACAGAAAAACTAAAAATGGTTTAACCAAAATGTAACGTATGATGAAAAAGGATTCGCAAAAGTAACATCCCAGTCAGCCCTGTGTATTATCGTTTTGAATGGTGAGAGGGGGTTGCGTCATTCAACCTGTATTGGTGAAAAGATATTTGGCAGTGCAGGGGGGAGGCAGGCCAAGCCTGCCGCTGCCTGAGCTGTTACAGAGGCTAAAACCCGGCACTGTAAGGGATTCAGTCGAATCTCGGATTTAGAAGGAGCAGTGTGGTTTTTGTACCGGTCGGGGAACACTGGACCAGCTCTATATGCTATATGCCATTGGATACTCGAGGGTTCATGGGAGTTTGCCCAACCTGTCCACATTTGCTTTGTGGATTTGTAGAAGGCGTTCGACCGTTTTCCCCGGGGTGTCTTTTGGGGGGTTCTCCGGGAGTACGGGGACCGGGGTCCTCTGCTGAGGGCCGTCCGGTCCCTGTATGGCCTGCAGTAAGTCAGATCTGTTTCCGGTGCATGTTGGCCCCCGCCAAGGGATACCCTTTGTCACCGGTTCAGTTCACTGTCTTTATGGACAGAATAAAGGGGGCCGGATAGGGTCCGTTTTGGAGACCACAAGATTTAAACTCTGTTGTCCACAAACCTGCAACATACCCTGGGACGGTTTACAGCCGAGTGTGAAGTGGCTGGAATGAGAGTCAGCACCTCCAAATCTGCGGCCATGGTGCTCGACCGGAAAAAGGGACCTTTCCCTCTCCAAGTGGGTAAAGAGATCCTTCCTCAAGTGGAGGAGTTCAAGTATCTTGTAGTCTTTCTCATGAGTGAGGGAAGGAGCGGGAGATTAACAGGTAGATCAGTGCAGCGGTTGCTGTATCGGACCGTTGTGGTTCTGGATTTACTGGTCAATCTTCGTTCCCTCCCTTACCTATGGTGTTAACGCTGATATTTAACCACAGTTGAACCTGACAAAATCTCACACAACAAACGACATAGTTAATATTCTACTTGTTACCCAGTACAAGGAGAAAATGTCTTGACAGAGACCGAGCACAGAGCTCAGCCTCTCTCAGGACAGATCTCAAACTCAAATAGTCTGTAGCCCCTTTCATACTAGAATACACACCCTCATAGAGCCTTCCCAGAGCCAAAAGTGAACTACAATACAAGTTTTCTACAATATATTTTAGCCACATAGGAATTATTAAAAATGATAACAACAACAAATTACATTCCAATGACAAATGGTCATGAGCTTCGGATAATGACCAAAAGGACAAGATCGCGGAAACAGTCAAAATGAGCTTCCTCCGCAGAGTGGCTGGAGCTCGGAGTAGAGCTCTACTCTGGCTGGAGCTCGGAATAGAGCCACTGCTTCTCCACATCAAGAGAAACCAGTTGAGGTGGCTCGGGGATCTGTTCTGGATGCCTCCTGGTGAGGTATCCCGGGGATGTGTCACCGGGAGGACACCCTGGGGGATACCCAGGACACACTGGAGGGACTATGTCTCTCAGCTGGCCTGGGAAGCCTTGGGGTCCCCCCGTACGAGCTGACAGAAGTGTGCGTGGACAGGTAAGTCTGGGCATCTCTGCTTAGACTGCTGCCCCCATGACCCAGCAACGGATGAAGCAGAAGAAAATGGATGGATGGATGGGCGGTTTGAAATAAATCAAACACAAAGAACAGAAAGAGCATAAATTACATTTATTTCATGCATAGCAGCTGGGCAAAATGTTAATGTTTACAAAAAACCAAAGCACATAACTCGTTTTTAGTGTGAGAAATTATCAGAGCATTGTCACATGAAGACTGGTGGATGGATATGTCTACCCAATCATCCCAAGAAAGGCAACCTATAGGGCAAACCTTATAGGTCTTTTGATCTGTCCACGCAGATGAGAAGCCAATGAAGGCCGCGTGGTGGTGGCAGAGAACCCTGAAGACCCCTCCTCACCATGCGGGCCGGGGGCAGCTGCCTCTCAAGCGTTCAGTGAGCCGTGAGCGGTACGTGGAGACTCTGGTTGTGGCCGATAAGATGATGGTGGGTTACCACGGGCGACGGGACATCGAGCAGTACATCCTGGCTGTCGTGAATATTGTAAGTTTTACAACACAAAAGACTCCAGCAGAGATCAGTTTACACATTAATGTCCTTATGACAGAAAAGTGGAAAAGCCAATCAGCTTTCAACCAAAAGTGGCTCTTTCAGATTTTCTAATGAGACAAAGACAACATGTTTTTGTTTTACTTATACGATGCTCGTTCTGTTTTGACAAATCTATTGTATATGGAACAATTAAGTTAGGAACTCCAGTCTTAAAAGTACTTACCTGTTAAGTTTATCTTATCTTATGAGTTTGTGTAAGCCCTCAGTCGTACAGGGATTAGTCAAAGCAAAGGAAGGTTTCTCACCCATCATCTGTACTTCTTAGCAAGTTTTCCCGACGTTTCGTCCTCAACCTGGGGACTTCTTCAGGGAATGAATTCTCGGACCGCGCGTTGGAGATTTATAACCTATGGGTGTGGTAAGCCACACCCTAACCCTGATACTAACTCGTAAACAATCTCAGGTCTGCTTGATGTAGAAGGGAGCAGGTCTAACGACCCTGCTGAGGCTAACGACCCTAACTCCTTAGCATGTCACAGACCTATTGTCTGCTGGGATGCTCAAGTGGAGTGCAGGTTTCACCCCTCCTAACTCATTAGCATGTCACTGACCTTGTCCCAAGTTAGGGCGTTGTTTTTAGGATGTCGTCATAGATGCGAGGCAAAACAAATCTTAACCCTCCTCCTCTGTTAAGAGAAGGTTTCTGTTTCCTCACAAAAATGGCTTCTTTCACCCCTCTCTCAAACCAATTCTTCTCCCGAGCCAGAATTTTAACCTCTGTGTCATCCACCGTGTGGTTGGAGGCCTTGAGGTGGAGATGAACAGCCGACTGTGGCCCACTAGAGTTTTCTCTACGATGTTGGTAAAGTCGTTTCTGTAGAGTTTGTTTGGTTTCTCCAATATAGTGGTCAGTGCACTCCTCTTCACTACATTTAATTGAATACACCACATTGCTCTGTTTGTGTCTGGGTGTTTTGTCTTTGGGATGCACTAATTTCTGTCTTAACGTGTTGAAAGGTTTGAAATACACAGGGATTTTGTGTTGCCTAAAGATTCTTTGTAGTTTCTCTGAAACTCCCGCCACATACGGTAAGGACACCCCTCTCCTCCTACTTTCTTCTGTCTGTTGGACTGTGTCTTTGGCCTTTCTCGTCCTTTGGGCTTTAGTAAAAGACCACTTGGGGTAGCCACATCTGGAAAGTGCTCTCTGAATATGTTTGGTTTCTCTGTTCTTTCCCTCCGAGCTCGTGGGGACCTGGTGGGCTCTGTGTTGAAGCGTTCTAATGACCCCGAGTTTGTGTTGTAGCGGATGATTTGAATCAAAAGCCAAGTACTGGTCAGTGTGAGTGGACTTTCTGAAGACCTCAGTCTCTAATTGTCCGTTCTCCAGTATGATGACCTTACAATCTAGAAAGGCGAGTTCACTCTCCTTAGCATCCTCGCGAGTGAAATTTATAAAAGGGTCCACCGAGTTAATGTGTGCTGAAAATGGTTTTGTGAATAAAATCAAACACCTCCAGTTTGACACAGATGAGACAATGGTCTCGTTTGATGTGACATCGCTTTTTACGTCGGTCCCTATTACAGAGGCGGTGGAGGCTGTAAGAGAAAGCCTACAGAAAGACGCCACACTAGGGGAGAGAACGAAACTAACAGCTGACCACATCTGTGAAATACTTGAAATGTGTCTTAACACCACGTATTTCCAATTTAGAGGCACCTTCTTTAGACAGATTCATGGCTGTGCGATGGGCTCCCCAGTCTCTCCTATAGTGGCCAATCTGTATATGGAGAAACTGGAGAAACAAGCCCTGGGCTCTTACCAAGGGACAGCGCCAAGCCATTGGTTTCGATATGTAGACGATACATGGGTTAAGTTAAAGAAACAGGAAGTGGAACCATTTTCAGCACACATTAACTCGGTGGACCCTTTTATAAATTTCACTCGCGAGGATGCTAAGGAGAGTGAACTCGCCTTTCTAGATTGTAAGGTCATCATACTGGAGAACGGACAATTAGAGACTGAGGTCTTCAGAAAGTCCACTCACACTGACCAGTACTTGGCTTTTGATTCAAATCAGCCGCTACAACACAAACTCGGGGTCATTAGAACGCTTCAACACAGAGCCCACCAGGTCCCCACTAGCTCGGAGGGAAAGAACAGAGAAACCAAACATGTTCAGAGAGCACTTTCCAGATGTGGCTACCCCAAGTGGTCTTTTACTAAAGCCCAAAGGACGAGAAAGGCCAGAGACACAGTCCAACAGACAGAAGAAAGTAGGAGGAGAGGGGTGTCCTTACCGTATGTGGCGGGAGTTTCAGAGAAACTACAAAGAATCTTTAGGCAACACAAAATCCCTGTGTATTTCAAACCTTTCAACACGTTAAGACAGAAATTAGTGCATCCCAAAGACAAAACACCCAGACACAAACAGAGCAATGTGGTGTATTCAATTAAATGTAGTGAAGAGGAGTGCACTGACCACTATATTGGAGAAACCAAACAAACTCTACAGAAACGACTTTACCAACATCGTAGAGAAAACTCTAGTGGGCCACAGTCGGCTGTTCATCTCCACCTCAAGGCCTCCAACCACACGGTGGATGACACAGAGGTTAAAATTCTGGCTCGGGAGAAGAATTGGTTTGAGAGAGGGGTGAAAGAAGCCATTTTTGTGAGGAAACAGAAACCTTCTCTTAACAGAGGAGGAGGGTTAAGATTTGTTTTGCCTCGCATCTATGACGACATCCTAAAAACAACGCCCTAACTTGGGACAAGGTCAGTGACATGCTAATGAGTTAGGAGGGGTGAGACCTGCACTCCACTTGAGCATCCCAGCAGACAATAGGTCTGTGACATGCTAAGGAGTTAGGGTCGTTAGCCTCAGCAGGGTCGTTAGACCTGCTCCCTTCCACATCAAGCAGACCTGAGATTGTTTACGAGTTAGTATCAGGGTTAGGGTGTGGCTTACCACACCCATAGGTTATAAATCTCCAACGCGCGGTCCGAGAATTCATTCCCTGAAGAAGTCCCCAGGTTGAGGACGAAGCGTTGGGAAAACTTGCTAAGAAGTACAGATGATGGGTGAGAAACCTTCCTTTGCTTATCTTATGAGGGCATTTTTTGATTATCTGTTATTAAGTATAATCTCTATGGATGTTAGCGTTTCTTTTTGGAAGAGAGGTGATTCATGACAGCGTTAGCTTGAATGTTGTGTCTAACTCTGTATCTTATAAGTCATGATTTAATAAATGTAAAATGAAACATATCAGAAATGACCCTGTGTTGAAGTCCTCTTTCCTCCTGGGGGTTATGTGGCAGGCTCTGCAGACACTTTGAGCCTGTATGTCATCATTGGCCCTGTTTCACTCTGTGGACATCACTTCACACACACTTACTCACTCCAGTCTTTGCACACATGCATTTGGTATGTATTTAATGAAGGGCTGTTTTCTGTTATTGTCCCAGCCGATAGAGCCAGACGTCCTAATGACAAACCTCTCACTTCTCACTTTATTTGTGTGGCTCTTTTAAATTGTATAATAACCATTAACACTTGAAACATGCCTCTTCCAATGTCTGTTGTATCCCAAAGTTAGTGAACAAATATGTGTTAAACGTATACACATGGCGAAAACCAAACGTGTGTATGAAATGCATGTAATAAGGTGCCTTTTGCTGCTCTCTCATCTGTTTTTAAGACTGGTCTTTTCTTGTTTCCTTGGAGGTCAGGTTGCCAAACTGTTCCAGGACTCGAGCCTGGGCAACGCAGTCAACATTGTGGTGACACGCCTCATTCTGCTCATGGAGGACCAGGTAAAATATGAGTTTACTTTTACATTCTAGATCAGAGGTGGAGAACCCAAACCTTGCAAGTCATGTGCTGATCTCAGCCAATCAGAATGCAGTTCTTTGCCTCTCATCAAGTTTGATGAGAGGCAAAGAGGCATATTTTTTATGAAGTGTGATATCCATGTTAAAATTCCCCTTCAAGCCTTTCATTTCGTTTCAATAGTCCATCCATCATTGGAAGGCGACAGTAGTTCAGTTGGTAGAGCATTGGCCTTTGGGCCTTAAGATCGTGGGTTCAAGCCCACCGCAAGACCTACTTCATGACTCCCACTGATGTCTGCTGTCGTTGTGTCCTTGTGTCCTTGGGCAAGACACTTGCCTCACTTTGCCTGAAGCCCCCGCTGAGAGATCAAGGCTCCTGTGGACTCACCACCTGCAGGAGGATCAGTGAGGGGCTGGTGCCATGTGTACGGGTGCAGCTCTGACTGCCACCCCCCTGACCCAGAAATGGATTAAAGTGATTGTCTGGAGTTTGTCAGAAAGAGAGACAGAAAGGTACTTGATTTGAAAAAAACGACGCAAGTTCCCTCCCTTCCTTTCTGATTGGTCTACACCAGGGGTCGGCAACCCGCGGCTCCGGAGCCGCATGCGGCTCTTTAGTGCCCCTCGAGTGGCTCCTGGAGCCTTTTCAAAAATGTCTGAAAATGGAGTGGGAGGGGTATGTTTTATTTCTAGTTTGAATGTGGTTTCTGTAGGAGGGACAACATTCTTAACCTTTTCCAATGTAGTAAATGAGTGCATGAAAAATATTCAATTTTAACATTTCTGTCAACTGAGATTTGCGTCATATCCTGCAACGCGCGGTTACGCGGCCCCGCGCCGGGCGGCCCCGCGCCGGGCGGCCGCTGTTGTAAACAAACCGGCATGTGCCACATGAATCCCAAAGCTATATTGAGAAAGAGTTGATAAGAACCGAGAATTCAGGGAAGAATGGACTGGAACATTTGCTTTCATTGTCAATGAGGAAGGACTGCTTCCTTTTTGCTTTGTGAGAATATATCGAAGAACAAAAAGAGTCATGTGGAAAATTGGCTGCTGACCCCAGTTTGGAGAGAAACAGTGCAATCGCAGTTATTCTGCAGCGTATTCATCTCCAAACTTCTACTGCTGAATTTTGTTGCAACACGAGGAACAAAGAAGTGCGAAACACCGTTCGGGACATTCAGCTCCAGCAAACTCCAGCCGTGACGACGTGTGACGTGATCGATATAAACAGACAGTGCTGTAATGCAGGTATGTGAACTCTGAGCCAAAAACAGATTTATTTACTGTATTTCTACAATTGCATGAATGCAACCAAAGGAAAGTTAAACTTTAAGCATATATCGTATAGCAGAGTAGTCACATGGTGCGTCATTCTCTTGCACTACAGTGAAAATACATATAATAATCATGAATGCATATTATGTATTTGTAGCCTATACTTACTCATTTTGATAGTAGGCTAATACAGCTCACAGCCTGTGTTGCTTTCATATAAGCCTTATTCAAGGCAGTTACGTTTATGCTGCTCCAGACAGATTTGTTTTCTGTATTTCTGGTCAAATATGGCTCTTTGAACTTTTTGAGTTGCCGACCCCTGGTCTACACCTACGTTTCCGTAACACTTTGAAATGTTAATGTCAGAGAACACATTATACATATACATTATTAAAGGCGCTATACCCGTTTCTGCAAGGTTTGAATGTTTAGCACGCCCCCCAACTCGCTCAATGGCTTCTCATTTCCCCTACGCTCTCATAACACAGAGCCATCCATCCATCCATTTTCTTCCCCTTAACCATTTCTGGGTCGGGGGGGTGGCAGTCAGAGTTGCACCCAGTACACAGAGCACCAGCCCCTCACTGATCCTCCTGCAGTTGGTGAGTCCACAGGAGCTGAGATCTTTCAGTTGGGGCTTTGGGCAGAACACAAAGCCATCTAGCTCAATTTGCGATCTGACATGTATGCTAACATTAGTATTTGCACTTCGTCTTGTAAGCTGTACAACAATCACTGAAGAAATGGTACTAAAGCAACGCACCGCTAACACAATATATAGGTAAAAGAATACTGCTAGTTTTGCATCCAAATTTATTCATTAAAATATTAGAATATATTAGAATATTTAATCGATTTACTCTCAAATCAATAATGACCTCCGCCCTTTGGCAAGGCAATCTCTGTTTGTAATTCAGGTGTGTAAAATACTGCCATTACTTTGCAAGTACAACGAGAGAAGCTAGCGGAGCTAGCCGAGCTAGCCACGCTCAATAAACAAATACATATCTATCAATCAACACCATTAAATGTTAATCGGACAATACAGTATACATATACATCCTTAACACACATGCACGTACGTTTTCAGAATTTCTTGTTATCGCTTTCATGACCAACATACTATTTTAATGTGACAAAAAGCGATCGTGAAAAACCTGAAAGTAACCATTAACATGTAGTTCCAGGGAGCTAGCTAACTTAAGCCTAGTTTATACTCGCGCGGCGCGGAGCTTACAAAGGTGACGTGACGTCACTTGCGCAACGCGTTGGTCACCGCAAGGCCCTTACGTCGCCTGCGCGCAGCATCAACATTTTCTAACTACGTAAGGGTCGCCGCAAGGAATCTCCGCTGTGATTGGTCCGTGTGTGTGTATTGGAAGGAAGCACGGAGCGGCTGCAGCAGGGACATGGAGGAGGCACTATGGAGCAGAGAGCTTTGTGCTTCGAAGGAAAAGCAGTTTGGGCTCAGAGCCTGATATACAGGAGACTGTGGACTATCTAACATATATATAACTTATATCTAACATATATATAACTTATAAACTGTGCAATCGTTTGTTTTGCACTGTTCCTGTCTTTGTTTGAATCGTAGCTGCGTTTGTTGCTTTCCTCCTGCACTCGTAAATCGTTCATGTTTGTCTCAGATATTTACCACTATTATTGTTTTTCTGTTTGTGCTGAAAACTATTTAATAATAACTATGTTTCCAACAAGAACTGTGTCTTTATTCACAGCATCACAGTTGAAATTACTTATAAAATAATGAATCCATAAAACTATCACATAAACCTACAGTAGAAACACGTGTAATGAGCTCAAACAGCTTTGTTTGCAATTGTTGTTCTAAAGAGGACAAAGTAGCAGCGTAAATGGGACCGCTCCTGTGTGATCGCCCTCATGTGTTTTGTTGTGAGATTACAACATTCTCCTCAAAACTCCGTAAGGGGAACGCGCCAGTATAACATCAATTGTGCTTACGTAGGTCCACCGCAACCGCTAACGTAAGCCACGCCGCGCAAGTATACACTAGGCTTTAGCTGTTACCTGCCTAGCACATCCCGGTGAAACCTTTGGGAGCTAACTATTTTATTTGCAGTTATTGAATACATTTCGAATTGTAAGGGCTGTCTAATATGTGTTCAAAATATATATATATTTTTTAAATTTTAGAATTATATTTAAATTTCAAAGCCAAAGCCCTAGTTTTTAGGAGCGCTGTAGAGGCTAGAGGACGCAGGCTGTTCACTGCTCGTTCTGTGAGTGGAGGAGAACGTCCCGCTCAGTCTCTACTCAGCACTTTTCACTGCTTGTAATTCTCACACAGCTGAATCAATTACCTCAAGTTTTCAATTAAATTACGGATTATAATACAACTTGTATGTCGTAATAAGCATTTTTATCCACTACTTAGAAAAAAAATCGGGTATAGCTTCTTTAATACACATGCACGGAAGTTTTCAGAATTATTTGTTAATGTTTTAATGAAAAAAATATGTTTTTATGCACAAAAAAGCGATTGCGGCAAACCCGGAAGTGCTATTATTATGAACTGCACATAATAGGACACATCTGCAGAGGATCTGATTATGGATATAGGTTCAGTATATACATATGTACCTCAGCGCAGATGTTCAGAATTCTATGTTCAGTTTTCATGTAGTTCCAGAGTCTAATAGAGGCTTGATTCGGAGGCTCCACGAAAACAAACAACTGAGCATGCGCGCAGCTGCGTGCATCAGCGCCGATGATTGACATGACTCGATTGGTTAACGTGGACGGCACCGTGGATTCTGAGCTATAGCTAAGAGAAGGGAAGGTGGGACTTACCTGTAATATTGGAATTAATAAAAATCACTTATTTTATATCAACATTTAAGGCCAGGAGGTCAATTTAACACATTTCCTAAAGCCTAGCGTACATCGGACTGGCAACTGATTATATCCGTCGCATATGAGTTGCTGCCCCGCACACATCGACAATCTGACGAAAACGGGCAACTCCCAGTATCAGACCAGTCTGGGGAATAACAGCGCGTACATCGACAGCAACTGGCCTCAACTACAGTGTGTTTTCTGACATAAACTGTTGCGGGCTCGCAATACACGCAACACACGCACGTTGTCGGAGCGGCGCATGGAGCGCGCACATCGGGTCATATCTCCGAAACTGAGGACAACTAGTTGCCAAAAAGTAGAACACGGGCAACTGACTGAAACTGGAGACCGACTGATCATCTCCAGTTGTAAGAGCGCTCACATCGACCGATTTCGGCAACTGATCATCTCCCATCATCTCCTCTCAGTTGCCAAAAGCCGCCTTGCAACTAGTTATCTCCAGTTTCTCTGTCGATGTACGCTAGGCTTAAAATGTGTAATTCATTTAGAGTTACAGACTATCACTTTAAGGGGAAGAAAATGGATGGATAATATTTATATCATTGTAAACACTGTAAACCCAGACAAGTTCAGAACTCTCCATTCACTTTAGGAAACCGATTCCATTCAAATGGATTGAGTTATTGCCCTGAAGCAAACAGAAAAATTGATTAAGTAGAGTAAACTTAAAAGTAAAACGAAACACAAATTACTATATGGAGTCATAGCCAGTTAATTTGTTTAAGTTTTCCAATTTTAAAACTAATATGTTTCTGTTCAGTTAACTTGTTAGGGGAAGTACTAATAGAAAACTTTATTATTATAGT